GGGAGAATCCGAGATGACCACACGCATTACGTCAAACCCCACACTGATATGTTTGGTATCTTCCAGGCTTCCGGACTGGAATTCACCATAGGATCTCACACCACTGCTGGCACATTGAAGAGCATCAACTCCTTTGCTGCTTCCTCCTCCTCCACACTTCCCTCACTAAGCACATATGAGCCTGGAGGAGGGCATGGCTACCTGCATACAATCAGCACATGCACATGCTGAACACACACACACACACAGAGAGAGAGAGGCAGACATGATGGATGGATTTCTGTAATGCACTAAAGCATTATCCATTACCCAGCAGGCCACGGGAAAGAGATATATCTTTAAAACTGACACTGTGCTAGGCCACATGTGCACGCTGTAGGATAGAAGCGACTCCTCCTTTGGAGATACCGTTGCAGGCGAAGGAAACATCATCTTTCTCATCTGTCTTAGCTGGATGACTTCTGTTGTTCTGCAGATGAAGCACTTTAGCCCCGTTCAGCCCCTGTAGGCTGCAGAGGCAGCGGAAGGCCTGGGCTGTAGCCCACTTAACGGGACACAGCCATGAATTCTCCAGCCTGCTCTAATAGATATTCACAAAGTCCACTGACATGTGCATCATGTCAAAGCAAGTATACCTGTATGTGTGGATGCATGTACATTTGTGTGCATGTATATACATATGTTGACAGGTAATTATTATATTATTATTAACACAATCTAAAACAACAATCTTGTTTCCTTTTTATTCATTGCTTGTGTAGCGCATGAGTTCAATTGTGTTGTTTTCTTGCTGTTGCTGTTTTGGTTAGTATTAGAGTTTTGAAGCCAGTTGACATCCTTGGAGGTCAATACTGCCACCTTCTGGTTGTGGTTGTCTCTGTTGTTTTGCTCTGGTAAAGATTCATATCAGGAAATCTTCCGAAATATCGATATATCGAAAATTGAAATAAAGAGAGAGAAAATCTGTAAATGAAAACATTTGTGGATATTTGTTGCTAATTACCAAAGTTGTACAATTCAAATCGTATTTATTTGGAATATAAATGCACAATAATTGTAAATTATTGAATAGATTAAAAAGGGTAGCCTCTCCTACTAGGAGGTTGTGGGCTCCATACCACTAACCCTTAATCCTTGCTTGGGTGGCACCAGGATGGTCATCCAGTATAAAAACAAATATATGTTGAACCACACTGTGTCCTGGAACAGCTGACAGTTATTGACTGAATGTAGTTCTTAAATAAACCTAAAAATATCTCATCTGTCACTTTGTAATTTAAAACACACAATAAGTGTCAAGAATGAATGTACAGATGCTATTGACTAATTATTTTATACAATGTATATTTAAGAGGATAATTATAGTCAAAATTCAATTAGGATATTTTATAGTATTTATTTCTCTCTTTTTTTCTTTTTTTTTACTCAAAGCGTTTGTCAGCACACTGACTTCTTGTTCTACTCCTCATTAATGATTTGTGAGTATTAAAGGTAGTACAGGTCATATGTCATTGTGCTAAGAACCGGATTCCCAGAATCCTTTTGGTGGATTCCACACCCAGCAGAAGAGAAAGCTTTATTGATCGGCCTCAGTGCTAATGAGATTGGACGCAGGACTCCTTAATACCACCGATATTCTTTCTCTCACTAAATCAGTGGATTAGGATGACAGTGGCATCCGTCTCACCCCCGCCTGTTGCCATTATCCACATCATGTGTTTGAGACAGCTTGAGCAGAACAAAAAGAGTGAGGCTGAAAAGTAGATTGAACACACGAATGGCACACCTAAAGGACTTAAAGGGCTGCGGCTGAGGCACGCAGACCCCCAGCAGAAAAGGAAGCAGAGAGATGAGGTCTTGTGACAGGCAGGCCGTCACATTCACCGAGGGACAAAGGAAAAAGGTGACAAGCAGCTGATGGACAGAAGGTCCATTTCCACTCACACAAAAGAGGCAGAGAGATGAAGCAGATTAGAGGCTCTTTATACCCATTGTGGAGGCTTTAAATGATAAGATTTACCTCCCTTTTCCATTCCACTCTGTGTGCACGTGTGTGTGTGTGTGTGTGTGTGTGTGTGTGTGTCACAAGCTCTTTCACTATGTCTAACTTGTCCACACTCCATCAGAAAAGCACTCCCATTTTCTTCTTTCATGCTGGTATTGAACATATATATGGTTTCTAGTTAGTGGTTGATGCCCCTGGATTTTTTCATGCATTAGATCCTCTCTGGATTATTATTGTAGAACCTCTCGATGCCAGTGATGGGAACCCACTGTCACGCACTCAGTGACATATGCAGACTCTCATTGAGATACTGAACAATGTTGCCAGAAAGATAGGTCTGGAGAACAACAGCACAAAGAACCAGGAACTTCCAAGTAATCAGCCAGTAAGGAGCTCCAGTCACTACTGAAGGTTGAGGCCTGAGGACAGGAGGAACAGATGGAGATATCAGGGCCTGGACCAAAACAGCCGAGAGTCTATGTCTGCTCCTAACACCAGTCCAGACAAACAGGCAGAAATGTGCATTTTAACAGTAATGTAAAAAGTGTAAATCTGCAGAAGCTGGTGACCAGCTGCAAGTCTTCATCAATTCTGTGAATCGTTCTGTGCTGCATATGCTATTAAATTTTTCTAACGTTAAGCTATGATGTGCATCCATATCATTGCCTTCTTTGTGTCTGGGGTCTTGTATCCATTCACACTGTACGGGTATAAATGACATCTTCCTATTAAACCCTTAAATTAGAGCTCTAATGGAAAATTTTATTTTTACAAATATTTTTTCTTTTTTTCTGTTGAAAGGAGATGATATCGTTCCCCTGAAAAATTACTCTTTTTCCTCAGTCCGAACTTCACTTGGCCTTTGTTCCTACTATGTCATTAATCACTCACTCACTGGCCTTAAATAGCAGTTAAATGACAGCATGTGAACCGCTAATAACATGGAGTCATTATTACTGTGCTCCATCACAGGAATATTTCTCCCCACCACCTGTGGTCATGGCTTTTCATTGCACATCATTCATACACGAGTGCCTTGAATAAGAAGAGGTTTCACTTTTTAGGTCTGCTATGTCTTTGGATTTAGTGTCACCTATCGATCTTTTTGCGCCACTACAGGTCGGTACTGTGTTCATATAAAACATCCTTTAATTAGATTTAGCAAACGGACATAAATAATATTGACAATTTTGTTAGATGTATGACATAAATTGTCTTTCTCGTCCTCATTTTTATTGAACAGTGTTATTGCCTTTGCACTAAGCATGTTATCTCCATCTGGCTCCCACAATCGCCTTAATATTCTCATTTAAACCTATCTTTCAAAAGAATGTATAGATAATAATAATTATTGTTATTATTATTATTATTATTATGATTATTATTATTATTATTATTATTATTATGATTATTATTATTATTATTATTATGATTATTATTATTATTATTATTATTATGATTATTATTATTATTATTATTATTATGATTATTATTATTATTATTATTATTATTATGATTATTATTATTATTATTATTATGATTATTATTATTATTATTATTATGATTATTATTATTATTATTATTATTATGATTATTATTATTATTATTATTATGATTATTATTATTATTATTATTATGATTATTATTATTATTATTATTATTATGATTATTATTATTATTATTATTATGATTATTATTATTATTATTATTATTATGATTATTATTATTATTATTATTATGATTATTATTATTATTATTATTATTATGATTATTATTATTATTATTATTTATTATTATTTTATAATTTGCGGTGTTTGAAATACCCCCTCCGTCCTTTAGAGGGCGATGCAGCTCAATTGTTGAAGTCGATCACCGAGTGTCAGTGTTTTGTTTCGTTTAAATTGTCGATTGCCGAGTCATGGATGAGGATTCAGGCAACAAGGACAGAGATAGCCAGTGTGTCTATGAGCGGCACTCGCATTGTGTCCATGCAGTTGTTGTTGTTTTTGCTGTTTTCTGTTTTTTGTACATAATTTGAACGCCGGTGTTAGCGGCTAAGCCATCAGCCAACCAGCAGCTGTGTGTTTTGTGCTCGTTTGAAGTGAAACGCTTCTGTTACTGACAAGTGAAGAACGTGTGGAGTTGACAACACTTGCTGCTGAAAATAAGGTAGACACACCAGTGACAGAAGTCTTCTTTGTAATTAACGGGCGTGAAGTTTAAACGTAAGCTGTGGCGGTTTTAATCGTTCAAACATGTATGAAGAATTAAAAACATCATTCAAACAGTGTGACACATTTTCAACATCAACAGAATATATTCAGCACAGATACATATGAATAACAAAGACATGGCAAGAACAATGACTGAAGGTAACAATTCTGTCATGACATTTTATTTATCCAGTTACATTGCATTGTGAAGAGAAACTCACCTTATTTATTTTTACTGCAGGTTATGTAAATTGTGACAAAGCACGGGCTGTTAAAACAGTGTTTTTTCTAAAACAACAACATCTCAACAGTTTTCAAGCAGCCTTGCCTCCAACAACAATTTAATTGTTCTGTATGTAATATAATTTCTATCCAATGCAGCTGCAGCCATGGTGTTAGTAAAGAGCTACTGTGAAGCCAACTCCTCCATCTCCAAAACATGGCTGGATGAAGGTATCTCGCCCTGTTTCTACTTCACCCTGGTCCCCACCATCCTCCTCTCCATCGCCTTCTTCCTTGGCACCATCTACTGCATAGGATACCAGAAATATGGCACGGCCATGGAACCCAAGTTCATCCCACGCTCCTCTCTCTATCGCTTCCAGTTTTCCATCTCTGTCCTTCTCTTAGCCCAGTTTTTGGGTGGATTGTTGTGGCAAATCATCACAGCTGCTACTGCCACTGGAATAGAGCTCCCAGGCTACGTTGTGCTCTACAGCTGCTTCTCAACACTGGGTTGGGCCTGGGCTACGGTCCTGCTCACCGTGGAGAGACATAGGGTCCTGGTGATGGACAGGACCAGGGGCCACAGCACCTTCCTGCTGTTGTTCTGGGCTCTTGCTTTTTCAGCAGAAAACCTGGCCTTTGTCTCTTGGTATAGTCCTCACTGGTGGTGGCGGCTGGACAGCACTGAACACAAGGTGAGATTCACATATCATACCTTATTTTATATCATATTTTTACACATATTTTAACGTGTGAGGTTAAAAAATGCTAAACCTTTTCCAGGGACAAACCAGAACAGTGTTGTACATTTAGTAAAATAATATATAATAATATATTTATTGGTTGTGTTGGAGGAGGGTCTGATTAACCTGGGGAAGAAATTAGTTTTAAAATTCAAATGGAAAGACCATTCCCTTTTTATTATTTGTGTTTTGAGGTAAGGGAAAATAAAGGTTTATCAAACTGTTGTTAGTGCACAGCCAGATCAGCGTGTAGTGCTGCAGTAGCTAACTATAGAGGCGTCACCTCAGCCAACCCTGCCATAAACAATGGCTGTGTCCTCTTTTCATCTATGATTTAACTGCATTAGAATGTACTGATTACTGTTATATCAGTGTTACCTGTTATGTGTTTGGCCAAAGGTTGGTTTATTAAGATGGGTGTGTGTTTTCTCAAAGGGGTGGAGCTCATAGTGTTTTTACTTTGAAGCTGTGTCTACATCACCACTAAGGTGAGGCAAGTTAGAATGTGAGAAATGTCAAATACACTACCACAAAGCTGAGACAGTGCTGCCCAGTCAGATTTGTTTAGTCATGGTGATCAGTGAACTGCTGCCAGTTTTTGCTGAGTCACTATCACATCTGAGTTTCACATCCCTAAACTACACCCTGAGCCTCACAGGACACATTTTAGTCCCTCCCACACTGAGTCAGCACTTGTTTACATAAAAGCGAGTCTGGCCTGTAAATCCCTCTCTTTATTAGAATTATATAAATGAAGTTTTTATTGTTTGTCCCTCTGGCTTTTTTGAAGCTAGTCTATATTATGAGAAGGTTTGGTTATATAATTATATAGTTTTCTTTTTCTTTATGATATAATTTGCAGAATTTGTATATATTTAGAATCATTTGTTTGTAAAGGTTTATGGCTGGTTTCTGCACAGCCATGGCAAATATTAGGTTCATCAGCTTCACTTGTGTTATCTGGAAAAGATATGCCTCATTAGAGCAGAAATCTATTACCAGAACATTCCTTATGTACCACATACAACCCTTCCCCTTGTAACAGTAAGATCCTGTTTAACTGTGATGTTAAAAGATATATTTCTGACCTTTACGTTTGAATGCAAATGCCTCAGGTGCAGTTTTCCCTCTGGCTCATCCGCTACATCAGCACTGGGCTGCTCTTCATCCTTGGCCTCAGAGCTCCAGGCCTGCCAAGGAAACCTTACATGTTGCTGATAAATGAAGATGAGCGGGACGTGGAGAACAGTGGACAGGTGATGACGTCTGTTCCTCACTATAGTAACTCAGTCGCTACTTTTCATGACATTCTTTTAGGCTTTGTGCTTGTCTGGTAAATAAGATGTGAACATGTTTATTTAAAACGTCTCCCTTAGCAAATCTAAACAGCTTTAGATGTAGGATGCCTAAAGGTAGCAGTCTTTGAGCAAATGCATTTTAATATTTAAAATATTTCAGTTATGACAAGACAGGGGGGTTCTGGGTTGTAGAAAAATGTAGGAAATTTCAAAATATTCAAGGTAAACAAACCAACCAGAAGATACAGTAAATCATGAAGTTATAATTTCTCTACTGTCACTTAATGTAAAAATGTACACGTTTCCTCATGCCTGTGTCTCAGTCTCTGCTGGGTGGACGACAACAGAACCAGTCAACATGGCAGGGATTCAGAAAGAAGGTCCGTCTGCTCATGTCCTACATGTGGCCCAAAGGAAACATCTTGCTGCAGATGCTTGTCGTCTTCTGTGTGGGTCTGCTGGGAGCTGAAAGGGCCATCAATGTCTTCGTGCCTATTTACTACAAGAATATAGGTAATTAACACATATTTTGGAATATTGTACAAACAAGTACTGCTGTTTGTTTGTACTGCTGTTTTTAGTTACTGTTAGAAAACCACAACAAGAAAATCACTGTATGTTTTTTCTAAATCTGATCGATCCTATATTTTAATGGATTCTTCTTGACTCATGTCTTAGCACTCTATGAAATTCATTGGAAATAACTTTTTGATTTGTTGACTTAGCCGGCAGTCAAACAAACAGCACATAAAACATGGCCTCTATATTGTTCTGGTAATGAAACTTTACTACTTCACCTGATGTTTTGTTTGTTTGTTTGTTTGTTTTTCTATTTAAAACCTTTAGCCACATGTTGAAATTCTCATCCTGTCTCCCCACAGTGGATGGACTGACAGATGGAAGCAGCTGGCACACTGTTGCTACCACAGTCTGTGTTTATGTCCTGCTCAAGTTCTTGCAGGGCGGAGGTGCAGGTACGTAGGAGAATTTTTATTCAGTTCTGGAAGGACACCTCTCTGTGGTGATGCCCAGAGGTGGACAGTGTCCTTGAGATTTCAGGTCTTTTTTTTTAATTCACAAGCCATTCAAGGGGAAATTTTAGAAGTGAATTTAGGAGTGATGTGAATGTTTTTTGACCTGTTCCCAGAAGTGATCATCAGTGCCATTCAATCATGACGATCACAGTCAGTTGTTCTGGTATCTCTATCTAGGAGCCTCGGGCTTCGTCAGCAACATGAGGTCCTTCATGTGGATCCGTGTACAGCAGTTCACCAACCGCGTGGTTCAAGTGCAACTATTTGCCCACCTACACGCGCTCTCGCTGCGCTGGCATCTGGGCCGCAAAACCGGGGACGTGCTGAGGAGCATCGACCGTGGCACCTCCTCCATCAACAGCCTGCTGAGGTAAAAAAAAAATATCTAGTGGTAAAAAAAAATGCAACAAAGCTTTTCGTTTTTCACACTCATGTATGTAAAAGTAAAATAATGTTGCCTTTGTTTTCTCCACAGCTACATCGTCTTCAGCATTTTTCCAACCATTGCTGACATCATCATCTCCATTATCTACTTTGTCACATATTTTAACGCATGGTTTGGTCTCATTGTCTTCGTCTGCATGGCCCTGTATCTGAGTGAGTAGCATCTCAAAGGACTTGTGAGGTTTAGGTGTTTATATTTAGTCTGTAGTCAAAGAGGCAACAAAGACATCAGACATTTAACCATAGACCCACACACACACACACACACACAAACACAATTAGCAATGTTTCTCTTTTTTAAAACCTTTTACATATAACTCAGTAACACAATCTGACCAAAGGGGCAGTAGTAGTCCTGCAGCACTTGTGTCAAATTATAACAGTGATTTTTCTCTGTGGACTTCAGTGACTGCTTTACACACTGTGATGTTGGGACTCATTTTTTAAAAGAGTCACAGATCACAAAGTGTATTTATATAATTACTTACATACTGTAATTGCTTCTGTCCCACCAGCCCTAACCATCATTATCACTGAGTGGAGGACGAAGTACAGGCGAGACATGAATCAGCAGGACAATGAGGCCAGGTCCAAGGCTGTGGACTCACTGTTGAACTTTGAGACGGTGCTTAATCACATTTGTCGGTTTACGTCACTAAGAAGTTTCCAAACAATTAGATTAGTCTAACAGACTAATGTGATATGTGTTTTAATTTTCTCAACACAGGTAAAATACTACAATGCAGAGAACTACGAGGTCGGACGCTTTGAGGATGCCATCTTGAAATATCAGGTCAGTCAAAGGGATTTGTTTACAGACTTTATGTCAAGAATTATTGGTATCAAAATTGTACGAAAACTGAAAATCAAAAAGAACTTGGTAATGTCGATGACTTTAGCCATGTTCTTAAGGGCACAGGAATAATGCTGACATGTCATTTGTTGCAGGAGTCTCAGTGGAAAACCCAGGCGTCGTTGGCGTTACTCAACCAAACACAGAACATCATCATCGCCTCTGGTCTGCTGTCTGGCTCTCTGCTCTGTGCCTATTTTGTTACTGAGGGAAAGTTCCAGGTGCCGTTCACACTCTCACAACCAAAATCAATCCTTTGAAAGTCTGTATGGTTTGACTGACTGACTGGAGACTGTAAACACACTGGGGTCACCTTCTTCACTGACATTATTGTCCTGTTTGTTGTGTAAGGTTGGAGATTTTGTTCTGTTTGGCACCTACATCATCCAACTGTGCACACCGCTCAACTGGTTCGGCACCTACTACTCGTGAGTCAATGCTGTTAATGTACAGCAGATATTTGTATGGCCTCCTTACTACCAATTATGTTTTCCTGTCTTTTTGTCTCCTGCAGAATGATCCAGAATTCCTTCATTGACATGGAAAACATGTTCAGTCTTTTTGAGGAAGAGGAGGAGGTACAGTCAACACAGTGATTTTTACATAGAAATCAGATGATAAATCTAAACCTAATAAGGAAAAAGGTTATAAATGTCCGAATTTGAATAAATATATAGAACATAAAAATGACATTTTCTAAAATTACAAAAAATGTTCTTTTGTTGTAAACTTGTATGTTGTTGTGTTTCACTGCAGGTGAAAGATGAAGTAAACGCAGGGAATCTTGTCTACAGACACGGAAAGGTGGAGTTTGAGAATGTTTTCTTCAGCTACAGAGATGGGTTTGTTTAAATTTTGTTTTCTAAAAAGCTGAAGGAGCTTTTGATGAAGGACTTATTATCGTTACCTATTTGTTTCTGCAGTAAAGAAATCCTGAAGGATGTTTCCTTCACTGTCCTGCCAGGGCAGACCGTGGCCCTGGTCAGTAAAATGAACAAACGTCTATTTCTACTTCTTCACATCTCTTCATTTTAATGCTTTCCTTTTCTTTCTTTTTTTAATTATCTCACCATTTATTAGGTTGGACCCTCAGGTTCTGGGAAAAGCACAGTCATAAGACTGCTCTTTCGCTTCTATAACATTCAGGGAGGCTGCATAAGCATTGACGGCCAGGATATATCAACGGTAAGGGTTTTTTTTAACAAAGTTCTGCTTCATCAGTTATTAGTAACAAGCAGTAATGCTGAGGAATAAATGAACATGTAAATATTAGGCTTTTGTATATCAAGTATTGAATTTTGGAACGAATGAAGGACTTGTCTAAAAGGAATGACTGAAAAAGTTCCTTCCCCTGTCATGTTGTGAAGTCAGTTCAAACAAATACAGATTACTGCTGACTGTCATTTTCTTTATGTTTTTGTTCAGGTGAAGCAGTCATCACTGCGCGCTCATATCGGCGTGGTCCCTCAGGATACTGTGCTGTTCAATGATGACATTCGCAATAATATTCGCTACGGGCGCATTTCCGCCACTGATCAGGAGGTGGAGGAGGCGGCCATAGCTGCAGACATCCATGACAGAATCATGACCTTCCCTGAAGGTTTCTTTACAGCATCTTTACAGACACATCATGTGATATAACATATCAGTAATGAGGGGTGAGTAATCTGTATGTTTTCTGGCAGGTTATGACACACAGGTCGGAGAACGGGGTCTGAAACTGAGTGGAGGAGAGAAGCAGAGAGTGGCCATCGCCAGGACCATCCTCAAAGCACCACAGATCATCCTGTTGGATGAGGTGAGTCTCTGTTTTACCTTTAACTCAAAGCTATAACTGATCTATTTGTTCTGCTTGTATAAATACGTCTCTGTGTGAGAGCGAGAGGGGGACAAGACAAGTATGTTTAATCTTTGTCTTCAGGCTACTTCTGCATTAGACACACAAACAGAACGCAACATCCAGGCTTCACTGAACAAGGTCTGTGTCAATCGCACTACAATCGTTGTGGCTCACAGGTAAGTCATCCATCTTGCTTGATGCTTCTTCATCAGCGCATGGTGCAAATTTGATTTTTTTTTTTTTTAACTTGCATGTTTTGTCCTATGATGCCTATTCAAGGTTATCCACCATCATCGGGGCAGACCAGATTCTGGTTTTAAACGAGGGCCAGATTGCTGAGCGAGGACGGTAAGTGCTGTTGTTTTTGTCTTCAGGTATTGGCACACGTTTCTGACAGTATCATGAAATATAAATGGCTCATTTTGTTTGCCATCCCAGTCATGATGAGTTGCTCACAAAGGGGGGTTTGTACGCTGACATGTGGATGAAGCAGCAACAGGCCCAGGACACTGATTCATCCTCTGATACAGAAGCCAAAGATCACACGTCTGAGAAACTGCAGCCACCGTCTGCTTCTGCTGGTCACCATCACTGACTGTTTCCCAGTGCTCTAACTGTGCTTTTAAACATCCAGACTTAAACAGACATTTTATTTATGCTGCAGAACCTGATGAGGTGTAAATGTTTTTTTTTTTATTAATGTAAGGGTTTTTTATGTTAAGTTGCACTGGAGAAAAGGGAAGTACCCTTAACAGAAATGTGGAGGAGTCAGGGTATTAATACCTCATCAAACTGCTCTACAAACAACAAGGTTAAATCCAAGTCCATCTGGGCCTCTGTAGACCACACATGGTCTCGTGGTCTGTAACCCAGAGTTTAGAACGCATTTGCAGATTAGCCCCAAAAAGAAAAAGAAAAAACGTCTCTGCTATTCAACTGAGAAATATATTGTTTTGCTGCAGATTATTAACATCAATAAAAACATATTGAATATTATGATAACCTTATACGGCCTTAGCATCAATAACGTATGGTTCATAACTTTAAACCCATCCATCCATCCATCCATCCATCCATTTTCATCCGCTTATCCGTTACCGGGTCGCGGGGGCAGCAGTCGCCACCCAAATCACATTGCACCGTACCAAACCTTCCTGCGGGTGGTGAGTCCACTGGAATAACTTTAAACCATAACCACATTTGTTAGAGAAGTTGGCACACGTCCTAAAAATACAAATTTATTATTTGTAATGCATTTTATTGCATTTTTACTGTCCAAACTAGTTCTGTTTAGTTAACACAAATGCAGAAAAGTACCTGCAGAAAGGTCTAGTTCACCCCAAGGTGTCACTTTGTTTTCTTCTATTTGCTTTTTTAGCATTTTCAAACCTCAAAATGTCAACTGTTGTGTCTTTAATATTGCTTTTTTTCTCCTGAGTTGGAGAATTAAGCAGCTTAATAGTCAGTGGTAAACCATTATCTGGTGGTGCAGACAGATTAGAGGCAGCCCAGTCAAGTACAGAATTTTCTTTTTATTACATTGTTAGAATACAGACTTATTCTTTTGAAATAAGGTTTCTATTGTTTTAGTGAGAACTGCCTTCAGGTAAATTAAGGGTGTTATAACACCAAACATGTCATTGTTGGTTTGTGCTGATTATTAAAACAAAGTCAACTTTGCACACAGAGTGAAAAACACTATTGATGGCATTAAAATGTATATATAATGCTGAAAGACATGCTCATGACAATTTACCAGGGATTTTATTAGTGCAGTTTATAATTAATTTATATATGAGCTTTTACTGGTGAGGTGTTCTGTTATCAGGTGTTTTTAAACGTCAGTCTTTATTCTTATCACTACGATGAAGTGTGTGCTCTGGTGTTACTGCTGTCATTTATTATATACATATTTAAATTAAATATCCTATAAAGACAATTTAATTTTATAATGTTTATAAATAGAACCTAATAAACAGTCAGATCTAAGCCAGTTTAAGGAGATGAAAAAAGATGAAATTCAAATGACCATCAGCGTGAATGGCAAAGAATGTAATTTCACCATTGACCGTTGCAGGCCTACCTCAGAGAGGATATTGTCCATTTATATATTTTGTTTTGTTTTTTAAACACTTATGTTGTTTTTACGTGTGAATCAGGCTGTAAAATTGTATATGATCAATATTCTGTGTTTGAGAATAAAGCTAAACGAAACTATTAAAAAAACGTGAACACGTGAAAAACAAGAATGTCTCATGTGAACTCAATGCAACTCAATTATCCTATATGCTATTGTGTTGTGATACCTAAAGTAAGTTCCCGTTCCCGGTCCCGGTCCCGGTTCCGGTCCCTGTCCCTCTCACCTGGCCCCTTCAACTGGAGTAGTCTAGATTCGGCCCTGTTATAAAGACTGAAGTAAACAGCTGGAGGTCTATGACGTCAACGCCTGTCATCGTTCAGTGTGTTTGCGTAACTTAGCTTAGCTCAGTTTAGCTTAGCTCAAGTTCTTCCGGGCGGGAGTGGATTAAGGCCGTTCCAGAACAGTCGTATAGAAACGTAATTAAACAATTGGCTAAGACTTGTCAAATGCTGTAAATATGGATTTCGACGCTTTATTCAACGAAAAAACATTTCAGTTTTCGGACTTCCAGGAATTCACGGTAAGTCTATGCTATTTTAAATATGTGCTGGTTCAACCGCGTTGTTGATAGCCTGCTGACCTAATGATGGTTATTTTTACATTATGTATTTTTACGAGTGTTTAACTGTGTGTAAAACAATTATACATATACCCATTTGCTTCTTTACTATATAAAGAACTACAATACTTAGTTCAAAAAAGTGGGTTTGTTACTTACGCTAGCTTCTGTTCTGTCAAATGCTAACTAAGCTAATATTGTCGCGTAGTTTCTTTTTTGGAGCGGAATGCTGCTTTATTATATAACGAATATTGAGAATTATAATACTCGCAGCAATTGACGTATTAATCTTTTTTAATTCCTAACTAAAGAACGACTAGTTCTTGTCTGTTAGTCAATAAACCTTAGAAAGTGTTTCACAAATCTTAACATAGTTTCAGACTGAGAAACGTACTGTATATTTATAAAAACCTAAATGCGTTAGCTACTGATGGAATAATAATCATAATTCCTTGTGTATGTATTATTCTAATGATTAGTTAAATATATAAAATAAGAACGAGATATACGTTTAGTCTTAGAAACAAATCCATGGTAGCTGGTAGCTTGAGGAAACGTTGCAGAAAGTTTAAAAGTACACTTTTACTGTATGGAAAAAAACATGCAATGTTGTGTGTTGTAAATAAAGTTTGTTAATTATTGTATTGTGGACATTTGTTTATTTTCAGTTTCTTCCTGGACATCAGAAGTTGACTGAAAGAGTGAGAAAGCGACTGTATTATGGCCTGGACAAAGACATTTCTTTGGACACCCTCTCCTGTCCTGTTACTGGTATGTCCATAGACTTTAAAACAATGATTTCAAATGAAACATAATATTTTTAAATACACACTGAAATAATTTATTTCTGATTTTAACATTATTTGTGTGGCCCACAATACCTGTTTTCCTAAATCATTTAAAATGATCTCCTTCAAGCCCTTTATCCAATTGGCCCTCTTAGGTAAATACAAACCTGGCAAATGTAAGCACAAGTAGAAAAAAAATCAAGTACTTGGCATGCTGTTGAAAAACTACAATATAAAATGTTTATTGGATAAAAACCCAAGACTTTTTAGAGCTCTTCCTCAAACTGTCTTAGTTTTTAAAATATTGTAGTCCAATTCTAGAAAAGGCAGAGCTGGCTATGCGGTGCTTATATCATTTTTGTGCAAATATATTTTTAATAATTATTCTTTATTTGTTGCCCCAGATATTGCTGTCGAAATCTTCCAAAAGTCTGCCCCAAGCCCCATCAGAAAGCTCCACAAGAAGTATGCTTCACATGTCGTAAGGTTTGTATTAATTATTTTTTAATTCTCTGCATCTCTTTCATAGTTGCACATGATATCTTGTTAAACTAGTTTGTTTTTTTCTCCACACCAGGGAGGCCTGCATCTCTCCATGTGCCATGATGTTGGCTCTAGTTTACATAGAAAGGCTCCGACATAGAAACCCAGAATACCTTCAAAAAATCTCCTCCTCTGACCTTTTTCTGATCTCCATGGTACATAAAATGTTATATAAAAATATTTTTAACTTCAATAAATGCCTCTACTCTTTTAAAAACGTCTCCACAAAAAGTAAATAAAATTAGACATTCAGCAGAAATCCACCTTTCTTTAAACACTAGATGGTTGCCAGCAAGTACCTGTACGACGAAGGTGAAGAAGAAGAAGTTTTCAACGATGAGTGGGGAGCAGCAGGAAAGCTGGACGTCCAAACTGTCAACAAATTGGAAATTAACTTCCTGAATGCTATTGTAAGTTGCTACTGTTTGTGTTTTGGGGTTTTTTCTGCCTGCTGTATGTATTTTCTTTAAGTTATTGGTTATGTTTGTTCTTTTTCCAGGGGTGGAGCCTTTTTACAAAGCCACATGACTTCTTTGACATATTAAGTCATCTGGAAACCAGGTTGGTTGATAACTTCACTGTTGAAACATTCACATATATACTTAATCTTTGAACTTTTTTCAGAGGAAAAACTTTTATACAACATTACCTGTTTCTGTCTTTCTTCAGCATTGCAGAGCGACAGGGGATGAAACGTGGCTGGTTCACCTACACTGACCTGTGTGTTCTTCTGGAGCAGTCAGCATGGAGTCAAGCTCTCACCACAATCTACCAGCACTTTACTAAAGTAAGAGGAGGGTTTTTTTACAAAAGAGAAAACATGAGGACATGTACTAACTGAGTACAGAATCATTCAGCACAAAGATCACCAGTCTTTTTAAAAATGCATCTGTGTATACTTTTTTGTAATTTAATAATACTAAAATCCTATCATTTTGACTTCCAGGTATCTTGTATGCTTGGCCTGGTCTATCTGACCAGTGTGGCAGGTCTCATTGCCACCAGTGCTGTGCTCCATCAGCTCAGTCTCTCCAGAACCAGTCAGTCTCCACTCGCACCTCAAACCAAAGGCCCCACGGACTATGTTCACACCTCAGCCCTGAACCCTGACACTTCAGCTGCAGCTCACCACCTTCCCTGCTGTGTCCTGGCCAACCAAAGTGTCCAGTGTCAGACTGGTGCCACAACTGAAGTGGAGCATCAGAGAGAGAGTCCAACGTCGGCTTCCTCACAAACATCGTTGTTATGCCTGTGGGGTTCCCTCTTTGCTTCACTGGGTCACACACATCCTGAAACTACTTCTGACATGGAGACCTCTCAGACCTGGTCCACTGCTTCCTACTTCTGCCCTGGCTGTCTGGCAACCCTCCAACCTCTCCAGTGTGGGTTTAAAAATACCTCAGCCCTCTACACTCGTGTTTCTCAAGATAACCATCAGGACTCCTCACTGTGGCAGATAACATCCAGCCTCGTCAAGGCCACTCTCCCCAGTCTGGACTCTCACTTTGGGGGTTTTCCCTCCGTACAGCTGGGATCCTGTCATCCAAGCACTGTGTTACCTGTGGAGAAAGTTCCAGCTCTGCTGATGCCTGGTTAGAGCCTGTGTGTTCTCACTGCTGTCAGCCTGTGGTGAAAAAGTCTGGAAATTAAACTAGCATTGTTTTCATGACTCATTCACAGCTTTAATTGGAATGTCTGGGGTTTTTAGTTTGGTTTATATGGTATTGACACATTTTTCAGTCCTAACTATGGCACTAACTTGAACCACCAAGGTTACTTTTGGAGACATTTCCGTCAAACAAGACACAATGACAATGACACAAGAAAAGCTTCCCTCGCATCAAACAAATTGTCTTATCAAATTATCAAAATATCTTGTTGTGGTGATTGCTGCTTAGTCTCGCCTTGAAAAGCATTTTCAAATTCCCTCACTCTTCACCACTAAAGCCCATAGTAACAACCTCATTGTGTGCATATAAGACAGAGGAAAAGTCAAGCAGAATCCTGGCGTTGAGAGAATTAAATGTCAGCCTTGATGGAGATGAAATAGAAACGGCTGCTTCTGTGTGTTTTCATCTCATGGACATTGGTTATTCAGACTGAACAGCTGATTGTCTTCAGATTCCTGTTAAAAATACTGTCTTGAGGGATATGTGGGGCAATCAACTTAGATCTGCAGCTTTATTTGGCCTAATGTCTCTCAGAGCAGTAATGTTTTCACCTGGTGCCGCAATAGTTCATAGAACCACACTTCCAAAATATGCACTTTCCCTTTAAGTTACATTAAGTTTATTCTTACATTCATAAAGATTTTGCAAATACACAGGGAGTAGAGTCCATGATTTTGATGATGTTAAAATGCCAAAAACCTTTGTCAAAACCCTGACATTTTAATTCACGCAGATGTTTTTGCTTCAAAGCCGTTTTGCTACACACACTTTTGCTAGATTGAAGATTCTGACCTGTGTTTTATTGTTGGTGGGGCATTTGTTTGATTGTTTTGAGATGAGAAGTGAGCATATCCTGGTGAATTTTATTCAGAAAACACTGTTGGTGGGGGCGGGGGCAGGGGCAAGGTTATTTTGTCTTTGAACATACACTTTAACATACTCTTCAAGCACTGATTTATCAAGACCGTTGTTTGGTACTACTTCCAATACATTTTGTTTGCTTTTTTTTTTTGTATAAGCGTCATAGCATAACAAAAACTACATTGCATCTTCCACCTTTTCATTGTCTTTTTCATCATATGAAGTCCAGATAGTACCTGCTTTGAGTTTTCATTTCCACTAGTTCCATCAGTTTGTGCACTAACATGTTATCATAGTACCAGAGTGGCGTTTGGGCAAAGTTAGGAGATTTGATTTGAAGGTTTCTAAAAG